TGTTCCCTAGTTGGGTCATGAAACGTCTGCAAGGAAACCACCCAGCTAAGAGAGCACCAGGGACCCCACAGTCCTCCTCCTCTACCTCCATCTTCTCCACTCCCTGTTAGCACTGATGATGTTCCCCAGTTTGGTCATGAAATGACTGCAAGAAACCAAACAAGGTCAGAGAGCGTCAAGGACCCCGTAGTCCCTCTCCTTCCCCTTCCTGCTGCTGATTTTGGACTGGGATCTGGAGCTGGATCCAGAGTTGGATTTAGATCTGGATGAGGATCTGGATCTCGATCTGAATCTGGACTAGGATTTGGACCCGGTCCTCATTGTATAACTGGAACTGGAACTGGGCCTGGACTGGGATCTAGATCTTTAATGTGGATTTTGACCTGGACCTGGACTTGGGTCAAGAGAATGGATCAAGACCTAGAGTCAGATCTGAACCTGGATCTGGCCCCGGATCTGAACCTAGCCCTCATTCTAGACCAGACCTGGACCGGGATCTAGATCTTTGCCCGGATCTAGACCTGGACCTTAACCTTGATTTGGATCTCTATCTTGATCTGGACCCAGATCTGGTTCAGAATCTAGATCTAGATCGAGGTCCAGGTCCAGATTCAAGTCCGGGTCCAGGTCCAGATCTGGCTCAGGATCTAGATCAGGACCTGGTTGTGAACCTAGCCCTCATTCTAGACCAGACCTGGACTGGGATCTAGATCTTTGCCCGGATCTAGACCTGGACCTAAACCTTGATTTGGATCTCTATCTTGATCTGGACCCAGATCTGGTTCAGAATCTAGATCTAGATCCAGGTCCTGGTCCAGATTCAAGTCCGGGTCCAGGCCCAGATCTGGTTCAGGATCTAGATCAGGACCTGGGCCAGACTCCAGACGTGGATCTGGACCTTGTCCTGATTTCAGACCTGAGCAAGACCTGATCTAGATCCTCATCCAGACCCTGACCCAGATCCTACCAATTGGGGGCGGGAGGGAGACTGGGGACAGGCAAGAGCCACAGCCAATCAAAAGGAGCCTCTTCCTCCCACCGGCCAACCTGAACGAGGGGAGGTGGCAGCGGGTGCCTCCTTCCCGCCCACCTTCCCCCCAATGCTCCTCCCTCCTCCTCCTCCTCCTCCTCCTGGGCACACCTGTCTTCAGCACCAGCAGGTGCAGCGCATCGTCCCTCAGGTAGGAAGCAGCGGCAATCTCGTGGGTGGGGATCCGGAGGATGAGCTCCTCGTTGTCCCTCCAGGTGAGCAGGAGGCAGCGGGCCGAGAGGCTCAGGATGCTGTCCTGCTCAGGTGTGGTCTGCAGCGGCAGCTCCTTCAGTTGCTGAGGGAGGAAGAACAGCACAAACATAGGGGGGGAAACGCAGGCGTGGCAGGGAAGCCCTGGCACCCCACGCCCACCCCACCTAGGGGTTGGTAAAGTGGGTTGGACTAGAAGATCTCCAAGGTCTATTCTATTCTATTCTATTCTATTCTATTCTATTCTATTCTATTC